AGCGCGCGTTGGATATGAGATGATAGATAGCCAACGAGGCGCGTAGCGCCGAGTTGGCTATAATCATCTCATGTCCAACAAGCGCGAGTGGAATAATTTTTTTTATTAAAAACGTTAAATTAAATTATTAAATTTTATTAAATTTTTAGCTCCCTTTTAATTCTAAGCTGACACGTACGCTTGCCATATTTGTAGATTATGGTATATTGGCTGATATACAATAATGGCTAAGCCAATAAAGAGTCTTAAATTGCATTATCCAATGATCTAGTTTTTAATAAAAATACTTATCTATAAATAATACTTATCACGATACAAAACAATCTATACCTTGTTGTTGTGGTTGAAGGTCAGCTTGATAGGTTTACTCAGGGAAGCAGGTTGACGATCATGGAAAGTGACCGAAATAATACTTGTGCCACTCCTTCGAAGCCCTCCTCCGCTACTCTGATTATTACTGGATCCCTCTGCTGGAAGTCTAAGTATATTCTGAAGTGTTCTGTAGACAATGGTTGACATGCGAGTTTCTATTGTGTCTGAGAGCGCTGAGCCAGGAACAAAGATTTTTGCGCCATATTGAGCGAAGTTAACCTTCAATTGGGAATAAAATATACAATATATTCACTCAGATCGAAGGGTTTGGAAATCAATGGAATGTATTTGTAAAACTGATTCTTAGTAAGAGGAACGTCCCTGAAGTAACTAGCTTTATGGATCAAAGCAGTTGAAATATGTTTAACATCGACCTTTGACTTACCTTACGTTTTGGGTTCAACCGATCAACTCTAAGAGCGATGTTTTCAGATAATAACTCCAATTTATCGGTTGAGTTACCAAGGTTGCTGTTCACTTGAGAACCGAAGTCGTCCATAGTCTTCAGAAGTATGTCTGTAATATTTCCCCTTTTCTGGATTTGAATTAAGTCAAGCTTTTGATTAAAAATTTGCTGCAGTGAATGTAAACAATTGGTGAAGGGACCAATAGAGGGTTCGAAGAACAGCCTTGCAAAACTTAAATCCATATGTACATTTAATTTATGAAAAAAAAAAAAACACTAAGTTGTTCCCAGCAAAAAAGGGTTTGGAATCATTTGGGATATCTTGTCAAGTATGTCAACTTACAAAGGGCTCAGGCTGGTTGTTTGAAAAGCGTTTAGTACTCAACCAGGATTTAAATAAATATTAATCTTGGTCTAAATGTCTCTTGTTTGAAGCTGTATTAGGGTTACGTTTGGCAAGGTTCCATCGTAGCGTAACTAAAAAATGACTGAGAAAACAGAATTTAAACACAAACAAGAGAAACATTTCACGAGAACCTTAATTTTCTAAACCATGCTCTAGACTACTCAGCCTTAGGTTTATCACCTTACCTAGAAAAAAAAAATTGCAATACTAAAATATAAAATTTTGAAAACCACAAACTTATCTAACATATAATCATATTACATGCGGAACTTGTCTCTTTTTAGAAAAATAAACTGATTGGCTGAAAGACTAGTTTTACTGTGTTTTTTCTTTTTAATCAAGAGGAAATTACAGCTGGTGATAGGGAACTAGAACAAAAACAGAAAAACTTTTCAGGATCAACAACATTACCTCCTGTAACAGCAACCACGTGTTTGTATTTTCCTCATCCAATAAATTACTTGCCACTTTCACGATGTTTTGTTGGTCTGATGTTGTGCCAATCGCGCTGTTGTTTTTCATTAAGTTATACCTCACAAGTTGTGCAAGCACATTCACGGAAGAAGACAATTCGCTCAGGTTGAGTTTAATTTCGTTCTCAGGCCTCGTCAAATTGAAAAATGAGGTGATGACCGTGCTTATATTGGTGGATTTGGAACCACTGGTGATGATGGCATCAACCTGGTCGACAAATCACGGGTAATAAGAGAGAAAAAACAAACAAGATCACTTAAAAATTTAATTTTGTTCAAGAAGATTTTATACTAGCGCCTCAAGGTATGGTCCGGTGATGAAATGCGACGTCATAAAAGGTAACATGATGGCAAACCATTTTGAAGTAAAAGTGCCAACTTGCAACTATTTTTAGGAAAAATAACACATTTTTAAAGGACACAGACGGTCCCATTCTAAGTTCTAGAAAAAATATCTGATGGCGGCATTTTTAACACCATCCTGGCTGGGGTCGTTCCCATGGCACGGTGGACCAATGATAATAGATGATAATAGAGGCTTTCCTCTAAGTGTCCTAGTCGAAACTTGTACCTAAAATGAAATACAAGATTCTAGAAAGTATCCATTCGAAAATTGCCTGGGATCTGCTATTGAAAGAAGACCTGCAGCGAGTGTTTATATTATAAACAAATTTCCATCATGCATTTTGATAGAGCTTTCCTCTTGGAAGTTATCAATAAGGAACAAAAAAGCCTCAGAACAGGACCGTTTCGAAGTAAGTTTCGACTGATGTACTCGTCCCTGTTTTTTCGGCTCATGTTTAAAAAAAATCGAAATTGGTCATTGGCTTAGAAAACACTCAAAGGTTGTACCTCTCGCTGTAGATCTGAAATACTGTTTGGTTGCCCTGTTGATTAACATGAGGTAGTAAGTAAATATAAAATCATACATAACTTTATTGTTATATATTTAGTATCCATGCTTGTTAAAAGTAGCAGTATTTCAAAATTGGTCTCCGATCATTTTTTTTCGGTCAAAATTTAACAATTTTTATCGGAACTTTCCTTCTCAGATTTATTGGGGGAAGGAAAAACCCTGAAGAAATGAGGAAGCAAGTGATACACGTCACTTAAAATCAGATCCAACCTCTGACGCATATCAGCTTCGCGACATTTCTGCCAAATTCATTTTTTCTTTATCGTATATGGAAAGAGGTGGACAACAATATTACCGTTTTTCATCTTGCAGCATCTGAACTTGTCAATACAGTTGAGTTCATCGCAGCTACTTTTGTAGAAACCGGTCATGTAATAACCTTTCCCCTGGCATTTGCTCCAACCTTTGCGGTTGAATTTTTTAGCAACATCTTCATCGTAACAATCTTCATAACTGCTGGGATGATCCTTTGGATGGCAACATTGTGCCTCATCGATGTGGTTCAAAAAGGCCTTATGATGATTATGAAGTCCGGTTCTGATGCCATTCATGTAAAAGCCTGGTGGACATAAAGCCCAGGTATAGTTTCTGCAAAAATAAAAAAAATAATAATAATAAAAAAAAAAACCAGAGTAAATTAAGCCTGAAATGTTTGGGTTTTTACCTTTTTTGGCTTTATCAGCTTTGTGCGTAGTTAATTGTTGATTTCCACTTGACTTTACCAATCAAGGGTCCGAAAAATCCTTCCTTAAATGGCTATTAGAAATTGGCGTTTTTGACAAGTTTTTGGCTTGACTGGGTTCTCCTTTTTTATGTTAAGGAATGTGAAACACAAATTGGTGTTGCGATATTTTGTCTCCCGAGTTGTCGAAGAATCAGAAGTTTGTTCCAGGTGAACAATTGGTTGTTTTCAGCATATAATCCCTTTGGCGTTAAACTAGACACATAACGTCCGCGTCGAATTTTTTACGCCGCCATCTGTAAAATCTTTTGAAGGGCATAAATTTAATTTTCCAGAGAAAAGACTAAATCTTTTTGGGAATGAAGACCGATGAAGACTAATGAATGGAGTCGGTAGAAAATTGCACAAGCAAAATACCAAGGCAGGTTGCTCAATTTTCCACAGACTGACCTCGAATTCTTAGCATAAGGTACAAAAGTAGTTAATGGCTTTGATCAAAGTTGTCAGGGGTGTGATATGAAAAGGCGTGACATTTAAAAACCGTTTGGCTTACCCATTCAACGTGCGTGACCAGTCTTTATTCACACATTTTGAAGGTTGACCGGTGTAACGAGGCTCCACAGCATCGCAGCAACTTCCTCGTTCTAGGCGTCCAACTCTTTCATCTCCAGTCTTTTTTTCACTCCTCCAGAATCCCTTCAGGTAGGTGTTGTTTCTTGGGCACACCGACCATCCCGGGGTGAAATCCAGGCTTCTCCACCAGTTGGCAATGTGACAACTTCCGCTTGAGAAACGATAGACCATGGCAAATATCAGTATGAAACTGACCAGTTGATTTATGAACAGGAATTGCATCCTATTCTCCCTTTACCGCGGGGTCACACTGCGAAGAGAAAAATCAGTGCTATAACCTAGCTTTGGGGATAAAATAGCTTTCCTCTCTGACTGTCCTTTGAAATATTTTTCTTGACCCAATTTGTGCCAAAAATCAACCCCCTGATTTACTGACTCTGCTCTCTGAGGCCATGACGAGCTTTTTGCGACTTTGAAATTCACAGCTGGGTATGGGTTCTAATTTCCGGGGTAGTCAAGAAAATCGAATTACAGATCTGTCATTACTACACAGTTTGCGGTGGATGAAGGTGCTAAGTATATCTTGAGTGCGCTATGCAAATGAAAACCAGATCATGTATCCATAAATGGTTTGTTGTCGACTCTAATTACACTTAATATATAACAAAGTGCTTCGTCGCGCGTAATACAAATATTGGCGCGAACGAGATATGGCGGCGAAGCTATATCCTCTTCGCCGAATTTTCGGACTGTCGCTCGATCCAGGCAAAATTTGGTACACTGTATCAAACGACTGGTTTTGTAAATCAAGAGAGTTCATGAGGAGTGATTGAGGACATTGCAGAAGTATGCGTCCGCGATCTGGTCGATGGAAATGGTGGACAAGTCGACCCACCGTGGTTTGGTTCGTCGCCAAAGAAGGACACTGTTAATGTTTCAGCCCTCTTCAGAATAATTAGAAGAGCGTTACGACGAAAAAATCTCGTTGAATAGCTAGTGGTTGCTTCAGATCAATTTAGGTTGGTGAGGGAATTATTAAATTTTCACCAGTTTGACTCGGAAATGGCTGGAAGATCGAATTTTCGCGGCAGCTCAAGACAGCTTGGATCGCTTGGATTGGAGACGCCACTATCTACGCCTGCTACAGTAGCCGACACAGTGGTCGCGCCTGTCTCTTTTCAGATATAAAGCGACCGCTTAAAGATCTGCTGAAGTTGGATAAATCGATAGGACCTCGTTTATTCATGAAACGAGCTGGAAGACCTCTTGCAGGTAAGGAAAATTTTTGGGTTATCTAAATGGCTGAATCTAAGATGAACATTTAAATCCACTTTCAATTTGTGCACATACATGTACTGCATGATGCTGCTGCTGATAATGATAACACTGTTTGTTTGTACTGCAGGGAGAGAATTGGAATTGTTCCAATTGATTTAGCTATCACAA